TATTATGAATGTAGGGGAAAACAGTATATTTGTTGTATTTTCCAAAGCAATTACTTTAAAAGGAAAATGAGCATTATACGTGGGAAGTATATATGTTAGTACAGAAATGCTGAAAGCCTTCCCTGCCAGCATTGGTAATAATGAAAATCAAGGTACATTCTGAGACTTAACCAGGTAAGACTGTGAGGCGCAAGGAGCTCTGTCGGGATAAAGTATCCCTGCTATCATATGAGTGAGCGAATTGTTTGGTCTGTGAATTAACTCAGCTGCAGTCACCTTTCACGTGGGTCAGTTTGTGTCCAGCAGCAGTGTGGCAAGGCAGTGTGGGCACCACTGGATGCTGGCTTGTGGGTCTCTGCTCTGTAGTAAACAGTGCTACTTGATCCTTCTTTTAAGATAGTATCTTTCTTTCCTTCTCTACTGTAATTTGTTGCAGGCTTCTCAGAGTTGACTGTACACAGAATCTAACAGTGTACCTGTCACCTCTGAAAACTGTTGTCATCTTCTAAAGTCCTTTATTGACATAGCCCAGTGAATGCACTTCCATTTGGAGTCTGTATGTCTGTCTCTTCCGCCTCGATATATCTGTCTAGTGTGTGTATGTTTTGTGTATAAATAAGAAGTTAAACTGCATGATACTCTTAAGGGCACACTGTACGCGTATGAGAATCTGAGGCATTTAAGTGCCTAATAAGAATTTCAGAAGCATTAGTTAAACAAAAGAATTCACTGAGGATCTTGGGGTATCTGAGGTTGAAGTATAGCTCGAACATTGATAATGAAAAGAAGTCATTAAAAAAATTAAATGGAGTGCTTTATCTGAGCTCCCTATTTCATGACATGAAACAAACTCTTACTAATAGCAGTTTATTACGTAACTGCATTCCTCTCCTTTTTTTTTAATAGTCAGTATTGCCCAATGTAGGAGACAGAATTATGTTTTTAGCTGGGCATCGATATGTTCAGCGTTGTGTGTTTCATTTGAAATTGTTTTATTTTGGGAAGTGTTTCCCCAGACATTTCATGTAAGTGGCACTTGTAGTTGTTACTGGTGTTTTGAACCTTGTGACTGTTAATCCTGCTCTGATAAAGATTAGAAAACAAGTTACTGAAAGTGATAGTGATCACCGGCTTTTGGTCTCCTTCACGTCTTTTTATTGCTAGCCCAAGCGGAGCTGAGGTGCTGCGAGGAGCACTGGCCCTGCGTTCACAAACCGGGAACCGCTGTTGTCTGTGCACGGTTGGCTTCACTAGGATTTACTGCTTCCATCTCTTGAGCATTTGTATTCAGTGAGCCCTTGCAAATGCTTGCCTTTAAAGACTTACGTTTCCAGATACCATTTAAGGTTTTTTTTCTTAATCTACATGTTATATTGTACATGAGAAATACAAGGAGAGCACTGGAGATTTAAGAGGATGAGAGGTTTGAGTCAATCATTTGAGCTTCAACTTAGTAATGCAAATCTGGCTTTAAGTGACCTTATTGATGTTTGCTCGAAGTAGCTTCCTTTCGGTACAAATGACTGAGCTTTGTTGTAGCTATTTTACAGGTAACGTACCGTCCCTTTAGAGATTGCCTTTGTATCCCTGATGCAACCTCTCTTTGCTTTAACAGAGAGTGCCTGCAGAAATGCCTGGGGCTGAGATAGATTGCATCGGTGTGCCTCATTTGATCATCTGTCAGCAAGGAGGAGGGAGGAGAGGGCAGGCGAAAACATGCGCCCAGTGCTCTATCCCAGCTCTTGGCAGTCTGAGGATTTGGCTGTTGGTGAACGGCGTTCAGGCGGAGAGCTTGGTACCGGAGGATGAAGGACACGACAGCCTATCTAAAAAGGGGTCCTGGCCACTTCTGAGACTTAGGCCTTGAAGAGAGGTGGCAAGCGACTGTTGCGAGTTCAGGGGGTGAAGGAGCAGCAGGATTTTGAGGAGTTACTAGTAGGGTGGTGCGTAGACTGCCAAGCACCGGTGTCCGGAGGGAATAGTATTGTGTAACAAACAGTGCCATCTTCTGGGAGGAGTCGGAATGATGCCCTTGTGCTCCACTTAAAGATACTTTTTTTTAAAGTGGTGGGTGGGTGTTTGTTTTGTTGGTGTTTTTTTTTTGTTTGGATTGTTTTTTTTCTCTCTATCTAGCAAATGCTTTGAAAACAAAATACCAGAAGTTGAAAGACACTGTTAATGTCTAGTCATGCAAGTCCACGCCTTGTATCTGTGAATTATCACTGATGCAGTATTTAAGGAAAAGTTTTAAATTATGTTGTGTAGTTTGTTTAAAAGAACTAAAGTTTATCAACTGCTGAGCAGTACTCCAAAGTAGTAAATCTCAAAAATAAAAGTTAAGGACTTGGTCTGCTTGGTATGCTGAAGTCTATTATTATTTTTCGTAAACATAATTTGTAAAACCTAGATAATTGCAACATCTTTTCTCACAGGAAGCGTAGTGACCTGTAGGAAAACGTTAAAGGTCCAACGTAAGAATGATTACTTTATCTGTCTTTTATTGATTTTAAATTGCTCTAACTCCTTCTTTGGGGGATGTCAGAAGGCAAAAAAGTGTTTTCTGTCTCAACTATTTATAGGATAATAATTTTACATTTGGGAAATGTTCACTGTGGTGCAAAATCTGGGATTAGAGTTACTAAAATTATCCTAGCAAGCGAAATGTAAGATTCAGCATTTACTGAGACTCATTAATGGTGTCAGATCAATCACCTGAACTCTTATTTGGAAAGGAAGTGAGCAAATTTAGTAACGTTAATGGAACTATATGGGAGATGCAGCTGACATTGTGAGGAGGTTTTTTTGTTCCATGCTTTGGCTTAAATAAATAAACAAAGGAACCCCAGCAAAAAGCCAATAACAAAGTGTAAGCATTATGGGGGGAAGGGAAGAGAGGAATCAATGTGTTAAAAAAATCTTTATTGCTAAAATAAATTAGACACGGTATATCCAGAATGACAAGAATTTGTGAGCTCTGGAGAGGCAGATGGATTTGGAATTGGTTTTATTGCATCATGATTGTCTAGTTAATTTACCAGCAAAAATGCAATAAAATAATAGTTTCTAAAAAAAAAAAAAATTATTTTGCATGTAAATTGTAACTCTGTGCTAAGTTTGTCATATTAAGCATGCTATGATCAGTATGTTTTGTACTCCAGAGGGTCTCATTTTAGTGATTATGGAGTTTGAGGTTTCTGGATAGTACAGTACTTAAATGTACAATTAATTTGTAGTTGAAATGGTAATTGAATGTGTATTTACTTTTTCAATATTAATGTTAGCTTGGTTTGTCACACAGTATTTAATAGATAAAGAAAACGTCTAACTTTCAGTATATTCTGAATGTTTAATGACAGCATAAATTGTTAACTTCGTGTTTATGTACATCCTCAGTATTAACAGTTAGGACTCTCATTTCTGACATCTGAAAGTAATTTAGTGTTGACCTATCTTACCATGTTGTTTTTAAGCTGTTGATAAAAATCTGATGTTAGTTTCCATTGCAAGGGGTGGTGGTCCTTGAGCATACCTCACACTAAGTACTATATTTGCTTAGATACAATGTAAAAACTATTTTTGTCTTTTAATTTAGTAAATTACTTCTCCATGGTTTGGGATTAAAGTATGTATAATAATATTTTGCTGCAAACTAGCCTGAAAAAATATTTCCCTTTACGTTTGGAACACTGCACCTAGATATTCACATTAACTCTTCACTAGTTAGAGACTATTTCACTGGTGCAGTGCTATAATGGACACAAAGTTATTTAATGGATTTTTTTGTTGTTGTTGTTATTGGTGCTGGTTGCTATTCTCTGTGGCTTTTAATTGTTTTTTTTTTTGTAATCACTCATGCTCTTGGAAGTCCTAGTTCAAACTATCTGTAAGAGTTGTAATTTAAGACAGATGAACAGCTCTCTCTGAAATCAGATTTTCAGAGTGGATGATGCAGTCTTCCAAATATCTGGAAAACATTGTGTGAATAAACAAGATAAGTAAAAATATAAGAAATCCTGTTTAGCAAAGGAAGAACTCAGTGCAACTGACACTGAAGTTGCCCTCTTTTCCATCTGACTGAGAATTTCAGTAGTGACATTCAATATAAGAAGCAAGGTAGTAACTTAACATTAAAGTAGACACTGTCCATCTCTCTTGGGTTTCCTATATCATAGTCTTGTTTTCTGGTTGATAGGATGTAGACTAAACAAATGGTAGTATTTCTGGAAAGATAGATCAGAAAATGTCTGGTCTTAAAACTAAAATTGTACTAATTAGAAATATTTTTGTTAGCAACTTAAAAAGTGAGCTTTTTACTGAATACTGCGTGATAGTTACACAAGCTGCAGGATACCAATAGAGTAGATGATTTCAGAGAAGTGATTTGTATTGAAGCAAAAACAAGAATAATGTATACTGTGTAAATAGTAGTTATATACTAATCCTAATACATCAATATGTGCCAGAACTACGAATTCTGCCTTACAGCAGTTGTTGATGTCCTCCTTGGAAAGCTACTCAAAGCTTATTTTTTGTCTACCCTCTCTCCCCCACACACCCCCGAAAGTAGTAAGTATCAACTACAGTGGAGCAAGTTACCATAAATTGAAGTTGCTTAAAATTTGTGGTGTCTCTTCTTCCTCTAGCCCAATAATACAATTTTTTGAAAGATCCCTTTAGGAGTACATGAGAACTTTTACTAAAACATGACAAAAAAATTTCCTTAAACAATTTATATCAAATACATAATCCTATTTTTATAATTTATGGTTTGAGCTTTTTTCAAAACTCCTTTAAGATACTGATCAACACCACTTAAGGATAGACAACGGGCAACTTGCACTTAATCTTAGGGAAAAGTTGACAACGTTTACTGGTTTTGTGACTGATAGTAAGCAGGTATTTTGCTTGGATAAAGTGTGAAGGCATTTTATTCTAGGTCCCTTAGATCTTGTGCACTAGTGAATTAATAAGCCTGACTTTCTTCCCGTCTTTTCACATGCAGGCAGAAGGAGAAGACAGCCTTAAAAAGATGCAGCTGATGGAGCTTGCAATTCTGAATGGCACCTACAGAGATGCCAACATCAAATCACGTAAGCGTGTCATAAGCTCGAGGGTCAATGCCATAGTAATGTTTGCAGGTTTTGATTCCTAAAACAACTTTTTGGCAAATGTACGGTAGCAGTTGTGTTGGAGAATGAAAGGCAGTAAAAAACCAACAAAGCAGTAGATAGCTGTTAAAAGATCTTCAGGAGACAAGTTATGTCAGTTTGTGGGTTTTTTGTTCATTGTTCACCCCGCACCGCCCCCACCTCCCAATATTTTTTTTTAAACAGTATGTCTGGATTGAAATATTTACAAATATGTAGTTTAAAAAAATTCAGCCCTTAAGCCAGATTTTTTGAGTTTACAATCATTTTTTGTTTAATAAGTATAAAGGACAAGAGATTTGTTTTCAATTTTATTTTTAGAAATTTAATTTGAAAATATTGCAGTTATTCAGGATACTGTGAATACATTTTTCTGTATTATATTCCTTCCTTTCATCTTGCTTGCATGTGTCCCCCCAGTGTTATGTTTTTCCAACAATTCATCAACTGATTTCACAGCTGAGTTCACAGGGATCAGTGATGTAATGAGCCATTTTTATGATTTCTTCCATTACATTTGTGTGAGAACGCTTTCGCAAACGCATGTATGCACAGGTTTACACTTGAAAATTAATTACATACACCAACTAATAAGAGCATATACCTATTATGTGTGATACAAATTATTTTTTCTAGTTGAAAATCTGTTTTCTCCTCCTGAAAATGCAGTTGTTGATACTGTTCCAAAGTAAATTTTTGCTGTAGCTGTGATACAGATGTCAAATGTAAGCACAGTTAAATCAGTCTTTTCACTAAGGGCCTACTGATATTTGCAAATTTGTTTCTCTACTCAGTCACCATTTCAATGTTGAATGTGTTTAAAGGTTGGAATGCAGTTAGGTCAATTTGAGAGTGCTTACATCAGTGTAATTATTCTGATTTGAAAAGAGATGTAAGCAAGGGCTTTTACCACTACAATGGTAGTGGTAAATCTTTCAGCCCTAATGAACACTGTAGTATTTAAAGCTAGATGAGTTTTAAATATGTTTTGGTCTCTAAATTATTGGAACTTTATGAGTAAAATACCTTTAAATTAGCTTAAATTGATGCAAACCTTTGCACAGAAACCTTTATATTAATTTGAGCAATTTCTTTGATCTATTCCCATTGGTCTGTTGTATCAGTATAAGTGGGAAAATGGATTTTTTTTTTTTTTTTTAATTTTTTGACTGGAGATTACCACACTAATATTCACTTTTTGATAATAAGACAATTTCACTGTGTTTTGATTTTACTGGAAACTTGAAGATGTAGAAGCCATACTGGTTTATATCCATTTAAGAAAGGAAATGAAAACGAGAGGTTTTTTTAAATTATACATTCAATCGGAGCACTTTTGTTTAAAATATAAAAATAATTTAAAAGCCACAAGTCTCAAATCGGAAAAACTTCCACATTTCTCTTTTCAGACCACCTGTAAGTTAACTAAATCAATGTAGATCAACAGTAGTGCATAGAAAATTATAAATTATAGCACTTTAAGATTGACTGTAACAAGCTGATGTGTTAGTGTTTTCGAAGTTGTTCATCTTGTGTGCCAACAGGCTTCAAATAATACTTAATAAAATGTGCTAGCACTGTTTAAAAAAAACAAAACAAAACAACACAAACCACAAAACAAAGCCACCAAACTAAAAAAAGTACCTATTTTCTTAACCTGAGCAAGGCCATAGTGAGCTTGTAATACAAAGAAAGTATTTTATTTTGGGGAATTTGATAGGGAAATCACTTCTGAGTCTCTTTTATTCATGCTAGAGTAGGAGAGGAGATGCATCGTGTTTCTTGGTCATCTTTAACTTCACTGATCCTGGAAACTGGAATTGTGTATATGTTTAAATACAATTTTAAGATGTGTAAAAACTGTAGACTCATACGGCAGCTCTGCATAACTGAGTATCTGTGGACTCTATAGTTGCACTAAATTTTGTACTCTGTATTTGATTATGACAGTATTTTCCTTGTATCTCCTGCATGCATCTCAGTCTCATGCAGTCTTGATAGCATAAATGAAGAAATGTGGTCTAAATGGAGCTTTTGTGCTGTGTAACCTGTTTGAGAAATCTACCTCACTGTTTTACAATGGCTTTTTTATTTTGCATGTTCATACTTAATCACACTGGAAAATGGAAAGCTGTTTGCATTTGAATGGTGTGCTTTGGCACTGTGTGATCAGCGCATGTACTAATGATTTCCTTTTATTTTTCTTCTTTCCTACTTTTCCCCTTTTTTCCCATTCTTTCCACGTTTTGTACTGCTATCTCCATACTTTCCTCTGAATTTCTTTGCTTACTGTAGCAGCCCTTGCCTTTTCTCTTGCAGCAACAGCCCAGGCTCCAAGGATTATTACTGGGCCTGCGCCTGTTCTCCCACCAGCTGCCCTGCGTACTCCTACGCCAGCTGGCCCTACCATAATGCCTTTGATCAGACAAATACAAACCGCTGTCATGCCAAACGGAACTCCTCATCCCACCGCTGCAATAGTTCCACCTGGACCCGAAGCCGGTTTAATTTACACACCATATGAATACCCCTACACGCTGGCACCAGCTACATCAATCCTTGAGTATCCTATTGAACCTAGTGGTGTATTAGGTAAGATCTTTGTGCGCAGGTGACTGGACGATATAATGCTTATGCTTTTATGATATTTGCAAGGTAGAGATCGTGGGGCTCAAAGGAAAAAAATATAAAGCAGCAGTTTTATCTTAGGTCTATCAAAACTGCCTAGGAAAACTGGTCAAATGGTGTAACTCTTAAACATTTTAAAGAAGTTTTGCGTTATTGAATGCGTACGTTCAGTATATTGATAAGATTACTGAAGATAAAATCTTCATGTTTGTATGGCACTAGATGGTGGATATCCTAGGCAAGAAAGAAAAAAAAAAAGGAAGTTGACATCTATTATATGTCATTTTAGCTCCCATAAATACCAGATTTGTTTGTGCTGTCTTTAGCATAAATTAATTTCCAGTAGCCTTTGGAAGAGAGAACTTCCTATTTTGCTATACCTTTTTAGTAGCAAAACTGGAGAGACTGGAAAGGTTTTTAAGTTTGTTGGAGTTTTTGCTTCTTTATTTAGCACATAATTGATAAATCTCTCCTCAGTGTCAGAAAGCTGTAAATCATTTTGTAAGCAGAAAATAATTTCAGTGAATGAATATAAAGCAAACGTAAGTTCTGACCAAAGTGTGATACAATTAACAACTTTATTGATGGTTTCTTTTATATACACTGGGTTGAAATGTCCCTAATTCCTAGTATTTCAGACCATTGACTTGCTGTGTGAAGGTGACAATGATAAAGCAGCCGTGACAGTTCAGTTAACTGGTCAATATGGAACAAGCAGTTCCTATAGTTTCTTCCTTCCCTACTTTCTACAGAATCAAAATAATCTTTTCTCTTCAGTTTGTTCTGAATTGCATATGACCTTGGTGCTGCATAATGTTGATTTTATAGGACTTTGATCTTAGTTTGTTCAGTGGCAGTTATTGATTTACACAAATTCTAAATATCTCTAATGAACACTGGACAATGAGATTCAAAGTCAATATTTTGTTGAAAGTATTGCAAAAAAATCAGTGTTTCACGTGACAAATATTTGTTGAGTTGCCTATATGTGTGCATGTTCCCACATTATATTTTGTACAGTAAAAAAGAAAATGTATTTCAGGTTTCTGCCTTTCAGGATTAGTGAATCAATAATAAAAATTGTAATAGGACAGAAGTATAGAGTAGGTCTTTCTTTGAGCAGCTGATAGTTATTATCCATGACCCCATAGCCAAAATTCAGTGAGCATGTGATGATTTCATCGTTTTTTAATTTCCCACAAACATGTAAATAATCTCCCCAGCTGCTCCACCCCCAATCTGAGAATCCACTTGGGATACATCCTGGGGTAAAGTCACAGTTAGAGGCATCGCCACAGTTAGCTATCAGTTGCTGGTTAGTGGCAGTCTCTTCTCCTGAATTCAGTTAGTAGCAAGTAAAGAAGTCAGTCGTTCCACAGTGATGATATAATACAATGCAGGGAACTTTGATTTCTCGCAGAATTTTCTGTAAAGAGTGAGGAGGGGAAAATTACTCCTAAAACAGCATCTGAAACCATTGCATACTTTTGGACTTAGCTGTGAGAGCACAGGTGTATTGCACAAAACAGATCTTGCCAAATAATCTTATTTAAAAAAGGAAAAGGAGGCAGGGAAGACCAGACTCCTTGGGCAGCATAGAATCCATAACTTAATACATCTGCTCTATCATCAGAGCAATTTTATAGAGTTAATTGAATTACATTGGTTTTTCGTTGAGTTTTGTTTCATAATACACTCAATTCTCATTAAAAGTCTGCTATATTTTGTCCGTTTTTGTGGTAGACTTTTAAGATGTCTTAAAATTTAATTCTGTTAAAAATGGCAGAGAAATGCATCCCTGTTAGTGTTTTTGGGACTATTGGTGTTGAGATCAAATTTTAGTTGGTGACTAACTTTTAATTCCCTTCCTTTTATCTTCAGGTATGGCTTTCCCAACGAAAGGCTAAGAATTCAAGAACGGTCTTAACTGATCCTTCATCAGATCTGAATTTTAACAAATGCTTAGTTTCAGCAGCCTTGAAAAAAGCTTGGCCTAGCAGTCAGTGACTTACTTGCACTTTTTTGCACATAGATTTAAAATAAAATAGTGCTATTAATTTGGATTAGCTCCTATTATTACAGAGTAGCTGTAATTTATGAGTGTATAGTAGTATACTGACTGCTAAGTGTTCTATATAGTGTTTGCTTTACTAATCACCTAATTCATTGCAGTTCATACTTATTGACTTAAAGTTTAAAATCACAATCTGTAGGCTTGAAGAATTGCTTTAAAACTTTTTTTGTGGTAGAACTGGAAGTGATCTTAAGGTTAGCAAATAATTGTCAGTATTAAAAGATGGCATTATTTAAAATAGTCCTGCTGCAAGAAAGGCACTTCAGTGAATATGTGACTAGTAAAGCTTAAATGTGCTTGGGTCTAATAGATTTCATGAAATACTGTAATTTTTGGGATTGTAAATGAATGGATTAAACAGGTTAAGGCCAGGATGTTTAAAATAAATGCAATATTAATCTGCACAGATAAACTTCTTTTTAAGAGTAAGATTTGAAACTACTGTGCCTTAACTTGTTGCTTTTCTTAAAATGAACTTTTGTAGTTAATGATCATTTAAATCCATTTTGATAAACCTGCTGTTAATGTTTTCTTTGAATGTTTTCTAACTTTGTCTTGGTAATTGCAATTTAACTAGGTGCGGTGGCTACTAAAGTTCGAAGGCACGATATGCGTGTCCATCCTTACCAAAGGATTGTGACCGCAGACCGAGGTTAGTTTAGTTCTGCAGTTCTTGTTCGTAAGAAGTGCTCTGAGTGTACATGAGATTTGCAACACCACAGCTGGTTAACCAAATACCCTATTTGACCCATTCGTTATTTTTCTCAAAAATCTGAATAGTTAATACTTTAAAGCGTTGGGAATGCTTGCGGTTTTAAAAACGTTTTGTAAACTTGGCTTTCCCAGCTCAATTAAATGTATAAACTTTGTGATATATTTAATATAAATGCTATAACTGATTCACTTTTAAAAACTATTTAAAGATCCATCTGCATCAGGAAACACTATGAATTCAGTGCTGCAATAATTAATTTGGTCGTGTTCCCTCCCTTTCCCCCAATTTGTTCTTTTAATTGGTGTGGAAATATCAGATTGGTGTTGCAAAATAAAATGAATGGATGGTTGCTTAATGAGAAAGAAGCAAAGGAATAAATGCCTCCTGTCTGTGTCTGGAGAAATCTGAAGATTTAGATTCCTTTTTTTTTTCCAATAAACTTTTGAGCCACTGTACTGTATATTATGAGGAGGATGCATGTTCTCAGATACCTGACTGAATTCAGAAAGGTAAGGGCTGTGAAGATAATACTTCAAAAGTTGTTTGAGTTTGAATTACTGAGAGTGGGAGAGGGGAGAGTCTTTTGGGTTTTTTGCCAAAATCTATTTCTTGGTATTTGCCTTTTGCTGCTAAAATGTGTAACCTGAAGGAGAAGCAACTTTTGAAGTCCTGTTGGTGAGATGACATCCAATATTTGGGCATCTCTCTTTAACCCTTGAATGGAAAGTAAATCTTCATTTTTCTCCTGTTCCTCAAGTGTAATGCCTTTGGACCCCTGAATGAAGTATTTAAGCTTACTGAGAAAAGTGATATTTTCGGTTTATTGACATTGGCTAGAAAGCAGTGTGTGGGCTGAATTCTTATCCCACCACTGCTGCTGACTCACTGTGGGTTTCGGCAAGTCATTTAATCTCTCTGTGTATGTTTCCCATCTGTAAAATAAGGATAATAATACTTCCCTACCTCACAGGGATGTTGTGGGGGTTCTTGTTTTGTACAGGGCTTTCAGGATGCAAAGCATTATGTGCCAAGTATTATTATTATGCTCTCATCAAAATCAGTGTTGTGCAGGCTTCCATGATATCGTAATATTCAAAAGCCAAATTCAGGTGACACATCTGACATCTCTTAACATTGACTACACTTCACTTCTCACAACCTTCCATAAATTAACTACAAGAAACAATACACATTTCAGTCAATACAGTAAAAAGAGCCCTTCTGGATATTCGCTATATTTATGTAACATTTTTATCTTTCATGTGATCTCATGCTTTACAGAAAGCATAAAGCTGATTACAAGACACTAAAGTTCTCTAGAAGATGGCTTCTTCTTTTATATCACCGCACACTATTTACAGCCCATTGGCTTGTTCTCGTTTCTTGAGAACTATTCAGTGGGCAACAGGGTATAATCAGAATAAAGTCATAGCCCATGTTTACAAAAAAAAAGAGGGAAGAATGGAAATAGAAAAAAGAAAATAGGAAAAAGATTAAAATTTATCTCTGTCAAGAGTAATGAGTCGTAAGGATTTGGTTGTCCTTGAAAGTTTGACCTGATGTTGCCAACATCAGTTTTTGCTAATGATCTTTCATTGTCTGCAACAATAGTTTCAGGTGAAATAGACTGCCTTTTTGTTTAATTAGATATTTGCCTGAGACAACTAGTAAATACACTGATAAAGCAGGGGAGGGGAGGGAAGGGGAATTAATAGTTTATCATTGTAGTGTATACTCAATATAAATTTTAAATATTTTTTGAAGGGCCTAGATGTTTCATCTAGGTCACTTATAAATAATTGAAATTAATTATTGATATCGTTTCATAATCTTTTAAAATACAGCTATTTTATGATACTGCCATGTTCACCTCTAGCAGTATTGGAAGCCCATTGTCTGAAGCAGATAAATAAATACACATGGCTTATCTCCTGTGGAGTAAGTCATGCATACCTCTCTTAGCATGAAAGCCATGCTGATATTTCAGGAGAACATTATTTTGAAGTCTTATCTAATCCCCATGTGTATTAAGAAACTTAGAAAGTTAATTTTAAAATTAGACTTCATTGTATTTTTAATTTTAAATCCTGGGTTGGGTTATCACTGCACAGATTTAACAGTTTCACAAAAGGTTTTGAAGAGGGCGTTGTTCAGAAATAAATCAGTTTCTAATGTGCTAAAATTATGTTGTAGAATTAAAATACTATCAGTGTTTACCGTATTCACCTATTTGGTTCTTCTGTCACCAATATACTTCAATAGCTATAGCCATGAAAAACAATGTCAGCAAACCGAAATACTATTTTTCAATGCAGAAACTTTTTTATATAGCATTCATTGGGTCTGAAGTTTTTTTTTTTAAAGTTTTAAATAGACTTTCAGATGACTTTGTAGTACTACTGCATTCACTTTTTAAGTAGGTTTTTGTTCTTTACATAGTTGGTTGGGTGTTTTTTTTTTTTTGAGATAAGCACTGCATTTAAAGCAAGAATCCCCAAATGTGTAGATGTTTTACTCTTACAACTAAGCATTTAGAATTGGTGAAGGGTTGAAAAATATAGCTCATTTTAACTCAGAATAAAACCCCAGTTTATAAATAATACAAAATTGAATTTGATGCGTATAACAGAGAGACTGACTGATTTAATTGTAATAAACTGTAAATGGTGTTGCACAGTTGACAAACCTGTGTGTACTGTAGAAGGCCAGAGACTTGGCAGAGGATGTATCACAGGTGTACTGGTATTATTAAAAGGTAGCTTGCTTCAATTATAAACTCCACAAGAAATATTAATGCTGAGAATTTTCTTGAATGTTTTATCCAAACCAACTGTCACATAATATATATGTAAATTTTAATACCTTTTAATCAAAATTGTAATCAGTATCAAAATGCTTTAAGAGTCTGTTTCTAGTATACCTGTAAAGTGGTGAGATTGTGCCACATAAAATATTTATTTTTATTTTTGCTTATTTTTGAAACAGCCATTTTAATTTAAACAAATCCCACTTAGCATGATTCTGAAAAAATTCAGGGAGCATGTGGTCTCATTTACATTACAGTAGTAATTTTTTGTAGTGTTATGAACTGTATCCTAAATGATAGGCCATTTTTATTATGTGAAAGGAAATCAGCCCACAAGGAAGATTACTAAATCGATGCTATCTGTGAATATTACACCTACTGGACTTCATTTCATGTAATGGCACAAATCTGACTTTGCACTGAATACCTTTCTCACTTTCATCTCCTCTGCCTTAGTCAAAATGGCAACAGTACAAAAACTTTATCAACCTCAGAATTTATTAGCTATAATTAAGCTGTTGAATGAGTCTTAAAAAAAAAAAAATAAAAAAAAAATCATACTACTGTTAAGTGGACCAAGTTTGGTGAAGGAGAATGTGAGAGAATGATTAAAGAAGGAACAGCTCAAGAACATTGGGAATGATAACTTTCCACTTGAGAACTTTTTTATGTTTTACTGTAATTTGTTTGTGTTTTTGGGTTTTATTTTTTTGTTGGGTTTTTTTTTGCAAAAGAAAATAGTATTTACAGGTGGCTTCTTTTAAAATATAAAAATAT